ACATTATTGTAATCAAATGCCAGTACCGTACGTAATTTACGCTGACTTCAAAGCGCTTATCAACCCTATAGAAAATACTGAATGCAATACTGATAGTAGTTTTACGGTATGATGGGAAAACAAACCCACCCGTTATTTATAGAGGTCCCGATGCAGCGGGAAAGTTCCTAGAATATCTACAAACCCATGTGTATGACGAGGGATGATTGGAGGGCCTATAAGAAGTCAACGAGTTGTCCTGTTTGTAATAAAGCCCTGAATGGGGATTCCGTAAGAGATCATTGCCACGTCACGGTTAATTATCGGGGAGCCGCGCATAACGAGTGTAACTTGAAACTAAAAATGAATTCTCAAACAATAACCATCCCCGTTGTGTTTCACCACCTTAGAGGATATGATTCACATCTCATTATGCAAGACTGACGGCGGCTTAACGTGCATTCCTAATAATATGGAAACATATATATCATTCTCGTTGACTAAAACTATACATTATACGGACAAGGATGGGAAAGCCAGAATAAAGCAAAGTAATGGACTTAGATTCATAGACTCCGTACAGTTTCTGTTATCTTCCCTGGACAATTTAGCTAATGCGAACAATCCCGATGACTTTGCGATAACAAATCAATATACCGATCGGTTAACTCGTCATTTGTTGCTGAGAAAAGGTGTATATCCTTACGAGTATATGGATGATTGGTCTAGATTTGTCGAAACTAAATTACCACCCCTTGTATCATTTTATAGTAACTTAGTTAGGTTGTAAGAATTTAGGTGATTATCACGATCTGTACTTAAAAACCGATGTACTGTTACTCGCCGATATATTCGAGATATTTAGAAAGACATGTTTAAAAAAATACGGCTTGGACCCGGCATGGTACTATTCCAGTCCCGGACTATCGTGGGATGCATTGTTGAAGAAGACTGGTGTAGAACTAAAACTACTCACCGATTATGATATGACCTGTTTATTGAGAAAGGATTAAGAGGTGGTATATCGATGGTAGCGAAAAGGTATTCTAAGGCTAATACTAAATTAGTGGAAGGATATGATCCGAGTAAACCAGACACTCATATATTATATCTCGACGCCAACAATTTGTTTGGATGGGCTATGAGTCAACCTTTACCCAGGGGTGGTTTTGACTGGGTCGATGATATCGAAGTGAATGATATCCATAATATCAATGTGAATGATGTGAATAAAGGGTACATACTAGAAGTTGACTTGGAATATCCAAATTCGTTACATAAAGATCAGAACAGTTATCCACGAGCTCCCGAGAGATTAATGGTGAATAAAGATTGGATGTCGGAATATCAACACTCCTGGGTGGGTAATACAAGGTTAGCTAACGTAGAAAAACTCGTACCAAATTTGATGGATCAGACAAAATATATAGTTCACTTCAGAAATATCCAGTTATATCTATCGTTAGGTATGAAACTAAAGAAAATACACAGAGTTCAAAGTTTGATCAAAGCCCTTGGATGGAGCCCTATAATAGGCTAAACACAGATTTAAGAAAGATAGCTACCAGCGATTTTGAAAAGAATCTTTATAAGCTCATGAATAACTCAGTATTTGGAAAAACTATGGAGAATCTAAGGAAGCGTGTTGATGTTAAATTAGTCAGATCTAATGAGGAAGAAAGACACAGTAAGCTTATAGCCAGTCCGGCTTTTAACAGAAGCAAGATATTCGATAACGACTTAGCAGCGTTGCATATGCAGAAGAGTAATATAAAATTCAACAGACCGGTGTATGTTGGTATGAGTATTCTTGACTTGTCAAAACATGTATGACTTTTATTACAACGAACTTAAGAAGCAATATGGTGATAGATGCGAGGTGTAATATACCGACACAGATTCTTTGTTGATGGAAATACAAACCGAGGATGTGTATAAAAATAGCAGAAGCAATAGATATGTACGACATGAGCGATTACCCTAAAGATAATCCACTGCACAGCATAGTAAATAAAAAGGTGTTAGGTAATATGAAGGATGAATGTGCTGGGACTCCTTTTGCGGAGTATGTTGGATTAAGACCTAAGATGTATTCTATAAAGAAGTCCGATAATGGAGAGATAAGAAAAGCTAAGGGTGTTAAGAAGTATGTGGTAAAAAAGCATATCAAACACAAACAGTATAAAGAAGCATTATTCAATGGTAGAACATTCAAACACAAGATGAACTCTTTAAGAAGTTACAATCATAGGATATATGGATTAAGAATGAACAAGACATCATTATCCCCCTTAGATATAAAGAGATGGATTGATAAGGATTGTGTAACTACCTATGCTTATGGTTATTTAGGGCGGTAATACTGTATCGTCGGGAACTATGAGCAACTCTTCTCGTACAAATGCCTTGCCCTGTCCATCTTTAAGATAATAAAGAATAGGCTCTCCTTCTTTCATAACCAATCGACTAATGTTATATATCTTAAGGTACCAAGTTGGATCGGTTGCACGACGTAGGCCTCCTTCGAGTTCACCGGGCTGGTATAAATAACTTACGCTTACTCTATCCGGAAGTTTTTGTTCTTTACCTCTCCTCGGTGCTGAAGATTTGGAAGTCACAGATTTCATTTAATCTCATCGGATTGTTTCTTCCCAATTAATCTCGTTACTTAATTATTCAGCGCTGATACAACAGCTGATAATCGTGTCACCCATTCGGTTGATCTCAATCGTTCCAATTTCATTTCGATCCCATACTGATAGCCAAACAAACGTTCCCCTAATGTCCGGTTAAATCTTTCAACGATGGCTTGACTACGGTGGGCCTCTTTTTCACCATGCCTGATTTTGACATAGTGCTTTGTTAAAAGTTTAGTTACTGATCCCATAAACTCACGACCAGGATCTTCTTGAAATAGCTTGGGCCATTTTAGGGATCCACGTTTATATATGGGACTCAGTGCATTAGCTACTTCTGTTGAATCTTTCGAGGTTAATGGCTCAGCCTCTTTGTATCCACATCCACTACGGTTAAAGCGTATTTATACGTTTTGCGTCTTACTTTATCATAAGGAAGAAACAAGAGGTCAGCCTGATGAACTTCATTCGTTGTAAAAATATAAACTTCTTCCTTGGTATAAAAGGTGGTGCTGGTAAGTATATTTGCCACATCGCTTGTTTCATTAGCCAATCCTTGGCGACATCTTTAGACACCTTAGCCGCAGTGGCTAATTTATCAGTGGTTCATATTGGGAAAGGGAGGTCACTCTAATTTCAAACGGGAGCTATCTCCGTTGTTTTTGTATTTGCGAGAAATGGCGTCACCCACGCTGAACATTGTTGGTCCAGCTATTAAATGCCCAGCTTATCCCTAAGGTAAAACGTAAGGTAATTAAATGTTTGAATGCATTATATATTTATGTTTCCATCAGTACATCTTCTAAGAATGGTTTAGTGGTGATAACCATTTTCCAAAATGTGGGCCCACATTTTTCCCGTCATCTATGGTGATCGAAACAAGTGGGCCCACATTTGTATTTCGCCTAGCTTCGTTAGGTTGTTTCGTTAGTTCTGATAATCAATCCCTAAATGTGGGCAGACGTTCTTCCATCATATTGATTGCAACAGGAGGGACCACATTTATTAATCGCGAAATTCTACTTAAATATTGATCATCATTTTCTCAAATGTGGGCCCACATTGTTCCCGTCATATATGGTGATCGAAACAAGTGGGCCCACATTTGTATATCGCCTAGTGGGTAAACGTTCTTCCGTCATAGTGATTGCAAAAGGAGGGACCACATTAAAAAATCGCTAGCTTCATTAGCTTTGCTTACTTATAACCATTTTCTAAAATGTGGGCCCACATTGTTCCCGTCTTATAGTGATCGAAACAGGTGGGCCCACATTTTTAAATCGCTGGGTTTCTAAAGGTTGACGAAGTCATTTAGGCTATTGGGCTCATGTTTGTCATTATGTGACATTTTATATTATTCATATTTTGTAATATTGATGGGAAATATCTTTATAAATCATTTCGTGTGACATTAATTCCATAAAGGCACAAACGTCTTTGAAGTTTGAAAAACTGCGTCATAGCTTACCACACTAGTTTTACAAAAATAGCTACCAAGCAAGAAACATAAATCTACTTCAAATTAAAATTACAGAGGCAATACCACTCATTCTACCTTTTCCAGGATAACACATCAATCTAATCATAAGTATTGGTGGCGATATAAGCCTGAACATATGTCTACACTTGAATTGATCTCGGACATGATAAAAGCCTCAGACGTTTCCGAGAACTTGTTCCATAAAAGGAATAACTCATGAATATTAATAACCCCACGACCTAGTTTGGCAATGTTCGTAGAAGTGAGTTCTGCTGTATTGCCATCTTATTTGTACATTTTAATCCAATTATAAGTCATTATACTTATTTTAAATAGACAAATTATGAGTTCGTTATGCGGGTTTGTTTACGTTGTATATATTCTCAACAACAAGTGCGTTTAGTTTCGAATGTGGGCCCACCTCGAACTTTCGATTAGGCAAACGGAGTTAGCTCCCTTCTCGAACCAACGATAATGCGGTTTCGCCGTTTCTTTTAACACGAATCATGACGATCGTTGAATCGCATCGTCGTTTTTGTATAAAAATTTCCCCCTGTAGTGGTGGTATAGGTATGTAAATCTGGGTCCAGTGGAAGTGGTCCAGAATCCCCATTACCTATACTACTGAAGTAGTTTGTCATTATTGGTGACGTTGCAGTAAACGTTTGATCCAAGAAATCTTTTTACAGAGGAGCATCGCCCACACTCAGCAATTTGAGACGAATTGTAGTTTATCATCTCAATTTATTGAAAGCTGAGTAATGTTTATGTTCCAAAATGTATGGCAGTTTGTTAAGGGTGTAATTTACATTACAGATGTTATAGTTTCAATCACATCTGCAGCTATGAAAAGTCTCTTTGAATTACTTTTGAACTTACACCAGTTTCACTTATGCCTTATTCAGCGTGTACCAGTATGATGTACGGCCCTAACTGTGCCAGCGACTGCAGTTCCCGACACTGTGAGACACCCTCCTCTACATGTGACAGAGTAACAGGACAGTGTCCTGATGGGTGTGAAGTTGGGTGGACAGAAATAGACTGCTCCAGAAGTAAGTCACCTTGCACCATAATAATATAATAAACAATAATGATTGTTTTGTTAATATAACATATTCGTATTTGTGATTGGTTCAACATAAGAACTGATTGAACAGCTATTGAATTGAATTGATACAAATAAATTAAAATGCACAATATGATTAGTTGATTCAACTCAGTGTTAACATTGCATACACTTATTAGAAGTAGTTTGTCATTGCGGTGGCATCACCACTAAAATTCAAGATATAAATATGTCTACTTCCCTACAGATTTCTCTCGCAACATAAGTTGACTGATGACCTTTTTGTTGCATGGTCGCCTTTTTATATCCCTATGTGAACAGATATCATGCTTCTTATGAAGTGAACGCTTGATCCAAGAAATCATTTTACACAGCAGCATCGCCAAAACTCAGCAATTTGAGACGAGTTGTAATAAAAGTGGAACCCATAAATTATTCCATGAACATAAATTGTGTTTGGTACTAAAATCATATTTCCATATACTTTGTATTGCACGTCAATTTATGATATCAATTAATTGAAAACTGAGTAATGTTTATGTTCCAAAATGAATGACGGTTTGTTAAGGGTGTAATTTACATAACAGATTTTATAGTTTCAATCTCATCTGCAGCTAGCTATAGGAGAACTCTCTTTGAATTACTTTTAACCTTACACCAGTTTCACTTTTGCCTTATTCAGCATGTACCAGTATGATGTACGGCTCTAATTGTGCCAGTAACTGCAGTTCCCGACACTGTAAGACACCCTCCTCTACATGTGACAGAGTGACAGGACAGTGTCCTGATGGTTGTGAAGATGGATGGACAGAAATAGACTGCTCCAGAAGTAAGTCAGCTTGCACTATAATAATATAATAAACAATAATGATTGTTTTGTTAATAACATTTTCGTATTTGTGATTGGTTCAACATAAGAACTGATTGAACAGCCATTGAATTTGAATTTATACGTGCTTCTCCATGTATACCTCTGTAATGTCATATACTGAATTGAATAAAAAATATTTTTTTAAAATATAAACAAATTTGAATTTATACAAATAAATCAAAATGACAGAGACAGACTGCTCCAGAAATAAGTTACAGAACATCATCGTGCCTGTTGTTTGTATCGGTAAATATGCATTGAAAACCTATTACTGAGAACACATTTAGAATCTCACTTGTGCTGTCTTTGCACTTGTCTGGACAAATCACTTATGTCTGGCATGATCATACTAGGTGGTTGGCATAATTAAGGCCTCTTTTTGTTCAATTCGGACCTACATACACAACTTTTCTCCATACCGCGATACGATGGAGTTCTCTCCCTTCTCAAACTGAACGCGAGGGCGAGCTTTTACTCGGAGCTCCTAATGTAAAGAATGAACTTGTATCAGTAAAATAGGGGCACAGGTGTTCCAATCGTCTAAGGTGCAGAGTTTCGTCCCTTCGGCACGCCAGAAACCTCTAATTGTGGGTTCGAATACCAGTTCGCCCCGATTATGTTTCTAGGTTTGTCAGCACCATATGCGTGCTCGTGGGTTTCACCGAAGTGGTGAACGTCTGAGGCCTGCATCCCTTCGGGCTTTCCTCCCACATTAAGCTGACACGCCGCGATAAAACTGAAATACTGTTAAAAGCGGCGTTAAACCAAACTCTCTCACTCACTATCAGTAAAATATGCATTGTCAGATAACATAAATGACATCTGATATAATATCTGATATAATCATAAAGTTTAGTGAGTGCATTTTGTTCCGTTTAGCGTACATGACAAGTACAGGGATACCCTGAGGGACTCCATATGTTTTGGTGTTCTTTTCAGTTGAACAATTGACTTGTCTTTACGGGACGCGTGCCAGCGCTTGGACATGATATGCTTATTTTCTCGTAATAAATAATACCCAATCGCATATGATCAAAATGACACTCAGGAATCAATTGATTTTGGAAGTCATCGTGTAAGTAGTCTCTCAAACGAACTTGTCAGTCGCACCCTGAGGAACAGACAAATAGTTAAGTATGTTGCTTGAATGTGAGTTCAAACGACACTTATGCACTGCAGGTATCCACGCAACCTTGAATATGGTCCACTAAATCAATAACATATCTCTAGGATAAAGTTAATTCTGAAATGTTTGAGAAAAAAACATATCCAACGATTTTGTGCGTTCATTCGGGACGGGTGAGGCTGGTAGGATATGTTACGTTGTTCCCGGCACACCCGACGTCATCACTTTAACTTCTACTATTGAGGAATCCTGGTTAGAAAAGGTCCCCAGCAGGCTATGCAAGTGGTAAGAGGTGGCTTAGTTGTTTTCTTGTCATCGCACCCCGACTGCGTACGACGTTGTTGTTTATACTGTCTATCACTGGATTTTCTGGTAAAGGTGGAATAGTGCTTGGTGTGGCGTTAAACAAGAAACTACAAAACACTGCAAAATTATACTTGCTGTTTGGAATAGAATAATAATGACTTGGAAGCTTAATAAAAATTGTAGACTAATTACATGTATATTGTTTTTGTCAATGAGCGCTGTGAAGTTTCTTGGTTAAATATAGAGGGGGTATGTAATAAAAGCCCAGATCAAGGTTGCTTGATGCTTGGAGTTCAGCAGCCAGTGGGACAAAATCGAAGCAACCTCGAAGATTTTAAAATCAGAAAAGAAGAAGCCATTAACTTTAAAAGGCTCCAAACATCAATCAACCGTGATTGAGCCAGAGTGAGTTGCTCCAGCTTGATGACGGTGTAAGAATCTACATTGAAACGTCGCTATATGCAATAAACCAGAAGTTGTTGTCCTTAAAGTTGTACGTTTTTCTTACACTTTAAATTGATCATGCAAAATTTATGTTGGCATATCATATCAGTTTTCTCTGACTGCCTGTTTCTCTGAAAGGACGTTTCAGCCTAGAAATAGTTTTTCGTGTAAACCTTAGCAAATATATATTTCAAAAACAGAGACCAAGCTGGGTTCATTGTTAATGGTGGTAGGAATAACAACTTAGTAATATATGTTTCTAATTGACATATTCTGTCGTGGTCAAATGGCCCCTAACGAGGAAAACAGTAATCCCGAAGTCCTTCATTCTACCCGTTTTTCGCGGACCCTTTTGTGGTACTTCCTGACCTCATTTGAATTTTCTCTTAATTTTCCATTGTCAGATAACAATATATGATGAATATACCAGTCTTTTGTTTCCAAAAATGTAAGGAAATCTTGAATCAAAGTCGCTCTTAACTTATTTAAAAAAAATTAAATTGACATATATATGCTACTCTATGTGTAGGTTATATATATATGTATGTTGTATTGACTAGAGTATATCATTTGACCCATCTTTCAATGAAATCAAACATGTACAATTTCCAATGGGAAATATGTTATATTTAGTTATTCAACGTATCTTTCTGTTATACAGAATATTCAATGACTATTACAGTATATCAACCATTTAAAAACCTACAAACGAAAATGCGTTATATCGAAATCAGATTATGTCAACTTGTTTCTTATTCATATCATTTACCATAACTGAATAAGACCGCCTCCGTGGTCAAGTGGTAGAGCGTCCGCCCGGAGAGCGGAAGGTCCGGGGTTCGATCCCCGACCACGTTATACCAAAAGACGTTTAAAGATGGTACTTGTTGTTACCTTGTCAGGCGCTCGGCATTTATGATAACAGAGCTATTCCGTAAGAGAGGCCAAACATTAATACAAACTTTTCTTCTTTTTGCAAACATAAACGTTTATAGATTCACTAACTTTGGATATGAGGATCCCCGGCCACGTCCGACCAAAAGACGTTAAAAGATGGTACTTGTTGTTACCCTGTCTGGCGCTCGGCATTAAGGGGCTAAACCAAGGACTGGTCGGTTCGGAGTCAGTATACTGTGTCTGAGTGGGGTATTCATGTTCAACTGCGGCATGGTATCTCAGTAAGCTGGGACTAGTGCAAACACACACACGTACATGCACGTCGCTATATAAGTGCAATAATCTTGGACGGGACGTTAAACCCCATTTCACCTCCCCTCACGTCTGTAGATTTCATAAGGTGTATACAATTTTCAGTTGTCATCTGTATTAAATGGATGTATATATTGCTTTCGTATATGTGTAGCGTTTACATATATTCACCCCAAGGTATTCATCTTCTACAAACGTCCAATTTTTCTTCAAACAGCACGCTCAATATATTTTATCATGAGAATTATTATTGTATCTAAACATATTCTCCAAATTATAATATCTAAATTTTGATAAATGCAACATTGCGACATTAAACCCCATTTCACCTCACCTCACCTCATAACTTAATACCTCTCTGACCACCTTCAGAATGCAAGCCTGGAACCTATGGGCGCGACTGTTCTCGTTGTGGACACTGTGACGTCACGTGTAACAATGGAGATGGACGCTGTCCGGGAGAATGTCTGGACGGCTTCACTGGTGACCGATGTGATGTGGATGTCAGAGGTTTGAATATTTTTAGTCGTTTTTCCAAGAAAATATGATGTTTACGAATAAGAAAAGATCAATTATAGCCCTGTCACCATGTATTGATGACGTTTGATCTCTGCACATCTATCATCAAACACACGTTATATATTCTATGCTATTGTTTACGTTGTCATATGCTGATTAATGTTAAAAACCGGACTAAAGTGACTTTGTATCTAATGCAGTATCTCCTGCTACAACCGGCGTCATTGTGGGAGCAGTAGGAATTGGTGTAATGTTGCTGATTGGTGGGCTGATGATATGGCTGTTGAAGTCTGGAAGGTAACTCCTTCATTGCTTAGCTTTGTATGATGTTATGTAACAGATTATTGTCATTGTGTCTTTACTGTTTGTTTGCTTCTTAACACAAGCACCTATATATGCATGTATAATACTTCTACCAGTGTAACAATTCTTTGTTTTAGACTGAAATGGATTCCCACAACTACCACAGACCCTCAAGAGTTGAGAAGGACGGACACGCCCAACACTGGAGAGATGTTTACTCATGCGCCCACTTCCGATGTGAATGATCAAGACTATACAACATTGAATGACTTCACCAGGGAGGACAAATCACTGTATGATGTTATTCAGAACGATAACAGTCAAATCTAAGAAAAGATGTACGCATCATGTCTCGGATAGTGCAACATCTGAATATATGACTTACTTCATTGACTTACTTATATGGATTACTTCATTGGTATCCATATACATTAGAAAGCAAAGAAACAATGTCAAATAGAAAATGTCAAATTGCAGTGATGATACCAACTGCTGAAATGTTTGAACACCCTTTGTGAATATCGGAGGTGCCTTTGAAAAATAAGTAATAGTTTTCTCTCACTCAAATTACAAGTTTTGCAAATATCAAGCTGAATAGCTAGTTATGGCCTTTGGCCGTCGATGTAAAAAGGTATTCCACAACAAAAGCATGGTATTCCAGCTGATGTTGACACTATCCAGTGACCTGTTAAGATTTGCCCGAAGGAAACGTGTGATCATACGAAATAGTATGATAATAAATTGTGGCAGATAAAATATTTAAGTTGTCCACTTAACGTCCTTTTCAAAGGTTACAATCTTGGCTAAATCAAATAACACTAATCATGTGCTGTTACTAGGTGGCATCTGAAGGAAACCATATATTATTATTGATCATTTTTGTGAATTGGATGGATTTACCTCCAAGTCCCTATGAGTTCGTAATAACCGTAAAAGTAAATAAGTTCGATTTTACAGTAAAATATGGTTGAGACAGCATTAATATCAAAATATCAAATCGATGTTTAATTCCTGTTTTAACCCAAATCTCTCTCTCACACCCAATTCACTC